TTAAGTCAACACGAAGCCGACCAATCGCATTGTCCAGCCCGATAGAATCATAGTCGTAGATATTCATTATAACCGAAGTGCACTTCAAAGTGTTGTAGGGCAGTTTGAAAATGAACGCTTCGTTCCAGCAGGGATTGTTAGTCTGCTTCTGGACGGAGGTCTTGAACTTCTTGGTGACCGTTGTCTTGCCGAGAAGTAGTTCTTCCGAAGCGTCTTCATTAGGGGTCATCTCCAAGAAGACCTTCACGTAAGGGTCGAGCAGGCCTGCGCCTGGCCTCGAGGCCAGGTCCATGGCCTGCGTAAGGCCCACTTTGAGTTCCTGCTTATTCATGTGGTACTCCAGCGAGTACTCGAGGCAGCCATATGATCCTATTTCAACACCATCAACTAGACCCGGGACCTCATCCAGATAGAGGCCTTTTATCGGACGCTTTGGCCTCTTTTGCCCACGGGAGTACCGGCAGTAGCTGCGAAGGATGCAAATGCAAATTGTGCAAAGCAAAACCACGCCAAGACAGACCAACGTAAAGAAGAAGAGTGCCAAGGGGATGCTGGCAACTTTGATAAAGTTGGTCCACCACTTGACGAAGGGGTCGTTCGCTGTCGAGTTGCTGCCTGAGGGCGGGGCCGACGAGGATGAATCGGTTGTTTGTATGGGATTCATACTTCTTTAGTAAAGTGTATGGCAAAAATCGTCTTAGGGACAGAGAGTTCACTCACATTCTTGGCAAACTGGCCACTTTGAAGTTGGTGTCTTTGTGTAGCATTTGCGCAAAAAGTGCTCGGAGCTTTGGCTAATCTGGTAGGAGGATGACAGCCTCAGCGAGGAAGCGAGGAAGATGACCAGCTGACGGATTGGAGAACGGTGGGAAGGAAGTGAGTCGTAGAAAGGGAAAGGTCAACGGCTAATGAAGTTCTGAATGTTCGTCTTGGACGTTTCAGTCTAGACTCCGTACGCCTGCGCTACTACATGGCCCTAGAGCGGAGTGTTTTCTGCTTATCTGGCAGCATTGTCAGGCTATGGAGGGGGCATATCTTTGCTCGTCATTACAATTTCTTCAAAAAGCTGACGCAAAACGCTCACAAACCTTTATCGGAATTTGTCAAGTGTAGATGCCCTCTTTCTGAAAGGCTGCATTGTATACTTACCTTGGTTACACAACTCTGCAACTATCATAGAAACAGAGCATAGATTTGTAATTATTGGTTCTGATTGAACGAATACGT